ATGCATAATAAATGATAAGGTCACATTATGTTTTAGTTAATTATTCCTATTAAACAAAATTGCGTAATCAAATTAAAAAAAAAATGCTACTTAAGTCATAATATGGAAGGTTTAATCGTAACATTAAAAATAAAATGGGCAAATTTTATGTTCTTTTTCTAAAAAAAAGATAACCAAAAAATATTATGTTTATTTTTTGTACAATGCTTTACTACATGCCTTCATAATTGTGACATAATCATAGAAGTGATATGTTACAATAATATAGGCAGGTTGGATAATTGGTGTTAGAACACTATTCGAAAAATATAAAATGCATCGTGGCTATAGATGTGCCTGGTTCAGGGCTGGCCTGTCCAAAAGCAAGCTAGGCAATTGCCTAGGGCACTCGTATTTGGAGGGCGGGCATGAAATTTTTGACATGTTTGCTCAAATTATTACCTTATAAAATGAATTTTGTTCTAAAATTAGTCCAAGTAAATTCAAAAGTACTAAATATTTCAGACCAGCGATACCGTTGATACCTAAACAGTTTCTTTTGTCAATAATATTAAAATACTTAATTTTAATATTATTGAATAATAATAAATATTAAATTAAAATACTCTATATATAACATGGCTCTAATAAATGTCAAATTTGTATGGTTAATTTCACGTTATGCTAATGTCAATTTTAATGGACGTTTGTACAACTGGCTGTTACATCTGTTTTCACTAACCTAGAGTAAGGAATTGCTTAACTAGGAAACGCCTAATCTTAAGAATCCCATAAGCAGATTAATTCCTAATAAACATTTTTTCTGTTATCCTTTCACACATTTGTGTTATATGCTTGTCATAGCTTATAACTTTAAAATTGCCTAATGTTGATAGGTGGTTCCGAGTCATTGATGAAATGCATTGTGATCTTAAGTGTCTCCGAAGTTTAGTGAAAACTGTCATTAGTCTTTTATTTAATTGTTTTTTTTAGTTCCTTGCCTAGGACGTCAAATTCGAATTCGAATTCACTCAGGTATCCGACTCCATTTCAATAAGCGACATTCGCTCAATATTGATTTGGTAATAACATTTCGTGGCATAAGTGAAGTGCGTTTCGAAATGATTTTTATACAAAAAATGGTATAACGAGAATTTCTGTACTAAATGATGTGAATTTGTGTCAGGATTTTTACAGAATCTAGGACAGAGCTCTATGCGCAAACAGTCATACGATTAAGTGATTTTGACAAATTGGAATTGTCCACTTTTTACGGCTATTACGTCTTACGTAACATGTCAGTTGAGTTAGCGAATAGGCCTGCTGGTTTAGAGTAAAATATAACCACAGGAGTCTGGTATAACCGTATAACATAATTGGTACGAATCATTATTGCAATAATTGGCATCATAACCCATTCTGACAGTAACAAAGCTATACCGTTCCACATAAGTTATGATTAAGCAATAATATACCTATATCTGTGGTATTTTCCATAAACCTACGTTTGTGGCGTTTTCCATTGTCGCCTAAAATAGTTAACTTCAGTACAAATTGCAGACAATTATCCACATTTGCGTCATAGCTTGTCTGGCAAATTTTCTAGGAATCGTAATTTTTTAAGAAAACAAATTGATGAATCTACTTTAAAGTTAAGTACTCCAGAATTCAAAATAAATCGTGTAGGATTATACTGTCTTATAAAACGAGAATTAAAGTGAGTAGATTACTTGGTATAAATAAAAGAAATAAACGTTTGGCCGCCTAAAGCAAATTTATGATGACATAAAAGAAAACGTGTTGACTTATTTTGGTCGGAGATTTAAAACTTGTTGCTAAAATGTTTTATAATTAGACGGTTAGAGTTTTTGACCAAAATAACTAATTAATAAAATGTATTTTTTTCACAGTTTAATTTAATATCAAAATACTTATGCCACTACATAATATAATTCAATCAAAATACGCAAATAAGATAGCGAAAAGGTTTTTCTTTAATTAGCATCTAACTAAACTTTTTGGTGTTTATAAAACATTCCATCTTCAAAGGGACTCGTGAAATTGAATCTTTTAAAGATTAAATATTTGTACAAGACCATCGAATTATTTTTAAGTAGGTACAATTTGTGGCTTGTGTAATTTATCAAACGAAAGATTGCAAATAATTGGGTTCAAAGTACTTAAATAAAAATAACACTTCTCGTTTTGCTTTATATATTTATAAGTATTTTTTTTTCTAGCAACTGTAGAATTTAGAAGTATATGATAGATGTTTGTTTTATTTATTTAACGTGAACGTAATATGATTTTAAAGGGGAAGCAGTCTGATATAATCAACGCAAAGCCCAATTACTGAGATACAAAATTTCATTTAGAAAAACGTGACTTACATTTATAATGTAAAATTATTTAAATTCTGGAACTACAATAAGAATAAAAACGTCAAGATAATCGGTCCAGTGTAAGTCGGACTAGTGCGTAAAGGGTTCCGTAACATTATCTATAAAAATCCAAAAAATCACGTTTGTCGTATGGGAACCCCCTTAAATATATATTTCATTTTGTTTTTATTATTATTGTTAATTGTCCACCTATCATGGTTCACAGATACAGCCTGATGACAGAAGGACAGCGGAGTTAGTAACAGGACCCCGTTTTTACTCTTTGTGTACGGAACTCGAAAAAGAAATAATTTACATACCTTCCGTCCTGCTCTATCGACGAGTTGACACGCCAAAAACGACCCTATGATCTGTACAGCAGCGAGCAAGATGGACTGCTTGTTTGGTGAGAGTGCGATGCTTGTGTCGGGGTCTTTGCCGGCTTCAGCGAAGATGTGGCTGGCGTAGACAAGGACGGCTATACAGCCGCAGAACTCGCGCGTGAGGTTGACTATGAGCGCCACCCAGAAGGCTTTCACTGATGTCTTGTCGGAGACTAGAAAGAGAAGGAGGATTTGAAATTCAACTAGGTAATTAACTACCTACGTGAATATATTATTATCTAGCAACTTCTAGACATTGTCAGTATCAGCTAGACCTGCTGTTCATAGATTTCATGCTTATACTGACTAGTTACATTAAACTTAACTTTCTTCATTTGTTGACTCTTTCTACAATATATTTGAAAAACAGAAGTTTGCGTTTCCTACTAAAACAAATTCTGAAATTTTGTTTTAGTAGGAAACTTTCAAGCATTTCCGTACGCTTGTATTTACGAAAGAAAGTCACAAGTTGATAGACTATCCAGATCTGTGATTTTATTTTAACTGGGAAAGAAACTTGATAACTGGATCTCTTCAACTTTTGAGATTTGGTTTTTAATTCTAATTGATTATCTAATAGATAATTAAAAAATGCATTAACTTTGTTCAATCGTTTTGATTTCGTCGTCGTCGGTAACTGTTGTGCGTTTCTGTTAACACATTTCGAACAAGCTAAATTCACAATAAGGTTCAAAATTCGCATTTTATATAACACGAAGACGCCCGGTGCCTCAAACCCGTTTTGAGAGCTGCAGAGCGATTCAGTAAAAATCCGAACCTGAATTCGAATATACTCAGATGCCCAAATTCACTTCGAAAGCGACATGCTTAACCTTGAATTGGTATTAAGATTTCGTGGCATAAGTAAAGTGAGTTTTGAAATGACACAGGGATAGAACATCTGAGATACGTGTGAATCAATAAATTTTGTTTTGTATTTTTATGCAAATAAATGGAATAAATATAATTTTCACATATACATTTTCGTGGATTCGCTTATCGAAGTGAATTCTGTGAGAATTCGAATTCAGGTTCGGTTTTACGGAATCGCTCTATTGATTCATTTTCGAAATGTGTTGTGTCATCTGAGTGCATACGAATTGGAATTCGGATATTGACGGGATTGCTTTGCTTATTCCACTTCACTCAAATGATAAACGCTGGTTGCTGATATTAGCAGTCTATCAAAAACAGCTATACCACCTATAGGTACTGTGTAGTATGTTTTTGAAGACTGACTGACTGAAATAGGTCTACAGTGAAATATTATAATATCAATATAACTTTATTAATTACTTTTGCAAATCATCTATCTAGCGGAAGCTGCGCGGTGTTCCTGAATGTTATTACAGTTGAAAGCCTCTTTGTACACACATCAACAAATCATGACAATCATAAAATATAACATTTTAATATCGTTTTTGAACTCTACTACGTAAGCGTTAAGGTTTAAAATGAGAAGGATATCGACAGCTTTGTATAAAGTAACCTGCTGTTGATTTTATTACTGAATTAATTAAGAACTTCTCGTTTACTTTTGCATCTTAATTGAAATAAGTTTGTATTTTTCCGTCTTTACTTTTTAAGACATTCTACAACGATTTTGTAAAGTATGTAATACTAACATCAATCAAAATTTTAATAAACTAACAAATAAACAAATATTGTAAGTATAAATAGTACAAATATAATATTTAAACGGCTATTAAATTTATGGAGCAAATCGTGGTTGGGATTCGAAGGATATCAGTTATATTTTAAAGTTATACATCAAGAAATAAGCCATTCCTTTTTGTGATTCCATTTTCATACTTAAGCGAAGTACATGATCTCGACTTTCACAAGTGCTTGTAATAAAACTGCAACTGAATAAATAATTTTGATTTGATTTGAATTACATTTGTTTGGACGATAAATTTGTTAATAACATTTATAGTAAATACCTGTTAAAAATAAATAAAAATATATATAATATATGTGCGAATGTGTAGTATAAAACTCATTGATAACGCAAATGTTTTGTCAGCAAAAGCCTCCCCACAGATTTATTTATGGATGTATGCTTAAAATATCGGCATTACCGGAATATACATTCGTTTAAGGAATTGACATGTTTTCATTTACTTATTAAAGTGCTCTAAACGGAACACCATTTCGAGTTCATAATATGAGCAACCAAAAGAAATCACAAAATGTTATATTTCTGAATCGATTGGAATAATTGGGCACTTTTTCTTTTGTTGGTTTTTTTATCTGTCAGAATTCTATGAAAATAATAACTTCAAATCGTTTAGAGCAGCGATTCCCTAAGCCCCTGCTTAGGGGTCCACGAAGGATTCAACTGGGGTCTACGGAACTCACCCGCGACACCAATTTCCATCGTTAGATCTTCACATTTTGGACGAATTTTGGGAATATGGTAAAAATGTAGCAGTAGGGGGTCCACTTAAACCAGTTAATATTTGAAATGGGTCTACGAGAAAAAAATGTTTGGGAACCTTCTGGTTCAGAGGGAGACGGAATCCAACAATTTTTCAAACGCCTTAAAATCCATTATTATTTAAATTTACTCACTCAATACTAATATAGATCAGCCTATCAATCTTCCCACTACTGGACACAGGCCTTCCCTATGAACGGAATAGAATGGGCCTTAACCCGCGCGGGCCCAGTGCGGATTGATAGGTGTTTAGCGATTGCAGATACAGCCGTAACTAATGGCTTAACGTGCCTTCCAAACATGGACGAGCTAGAAATAATAAATTTTGGGTCTCCCATCCTATGACCAGCCCTTCCGAAAGCGCCATCGAGCTTTATAGATTAACCTCCAATAATAGTATACTACATACTACTACCTAAACGTGTGACAAAGAAAGGGGCCGAAGCAGTGGTCTAATTGTCTTATTTAAAATCTATCACAATCTCTTTAATAAGAAACTAATAAGAAACGAAATAAAAAACTTAAACCTTCGATAGATTGCAGTTAGACTCAACTCTGGTTTGAACTTTCTCAAAAGCTTTCAAATATATTACGTCTTAAATTAACGATATCGTGCATTCAATTCCATATCTTTAATTAAAAATTGCAAAAAATGATGTAGCATGTAGCTCGTTAATATCTTCCAAAGTAAAATTGAAAATAATTGCGATAGATTTAAAAAAAGACAGTTACGGTCAGTTGCACGAACGTTCATTAAGGTTTAATGACGTCTTTATGCTCTAATAAATGTCAAACTTGTATGGGTAATGTCGCTTTAAACTTATGTCAGTTTTAATAGAAGTTTGTGCAACTGGCTGTTAGTCCCCTGATCTAGGAACTTTGTTTTGACAGTTGAACATAATATTAACTCAATTGACCGTCCGACCTGTACATCATGACGTCATAAATATCGCAAACATATTTATTGCCTCAATTATGATTAATCGGAATGGAATCGCGTTCGAGTGTCCTTGATTCTTTGTTCATGTTGTCGTGAACGATGTTCCCTCTATGTCAAATGATGCAGGTCAATTGACAATTCAGACCTCCTTGTTGACCTATCCTGATTTTGTTTTGTATGTAACACGTGAATCTCGAAAGCAACGCCATACAAATGTACTCCTTACTCACCATATAGTATGTCAGCTCATCTAAAACCTCCTTTTACAAAAATTATCAGATTTAAATATCTTGATACTTGACTGAAACTAGTTTTTTATACATTGTTCTGTGAGCTACTTTGATTTTAATGGATGTTGCACAAATGGCTGTAAGAGTTGAAAGACATTGATTTTTATAGTAAAAAAATTACTCACACAAGAGTTTGGGTGAGAATTTGGGTTCACTGGTGGTCTGCTCGATGATGAGACGGTCAACTTCCTCGCTGATGGTCTTGTCGTTTTCAGGTAGAGAACGCAGCCACGCCAGGACTTTTGCTGTTTCCTGCAGGAAAAAATATGAATGATACATTTAATGATATTGCTTTTAAATACTTAATGATCTGCTATTCTGTTACAACTACTGCTTTGAAGACAGTGTTGTAGTTCAATCAAATAAAACCTTTATAGTCTTATTTGACTCGACACTTAATATTGCTTTTGATACTGTATTTTAATTTGCTATAAGATTGATTAAGATTAACTGGCGAAAATGATTCAAAGATACAACAGGTCAATTGTCAATCCTTCATTTTGTTTATTTTTAAAATTCATAATTACAGTTATATACAGCTATTTAAGTTAATAGGCGACTACTGAAATTCCCCTTATCGTGGAAACAATGTGAAATATTTATAAAAATTATATTTTCCCACTGAGCCCTTTCATTTCATATGTCATACAGTATAGTTTGCTTTTTTATTTATCTCCTTAAAAAGGTATAGTTTTTAACTTTGTTTGTTTGTTTGTACGGGGTAATATTTGTAAATACTGATCTAATTGTAATAATTATTTGTAATATTTGGAGGTCTGTTTTTGTTATTTCTTATATTAAAATTATCGGTACAAAATATTGAACAAAACACAACATTTCAATTAACTAAAGAATTTCTCCGTCCAAAATAAAGAGAGGCTTCGTCTTTAATCAAAAGAGTTTTACACGAACCGAATAGGTAAGTAAACCAAATCTTCTAATGAAATAATCAAATTTCAATTTGGCAAAACGAAATTGATACAATTTGAAAGTACTTACACTAAATCTCGTTTATTGAGATCTATAATGTTAAAACGGAATGAAAAATTGAAAATATTGTATTCGGTATCTACCTACATAATGGATTACATTATAATAAGTAACTTAAACTGTATATTCTCAACTCTTTTATTGGATATTTAATGGATTTAGGTACATAAAAAAAAACTATATTTTGGCCACCCATCTTATGACCGGCGTTTGTAATAGTCGCTTAACGTGTCGCAGTTTCCAAGTCCAATATTATCAGTCCAGTGCTATGTCTTCCTCACACGTGTTCAGTGACGACAGATTTATAACGTAAAAAATCGCGGGTTTTTTTATTTAGGTCTTTTGAATTTTTATGAATATTTTGTTTTTGAATCAGCTTAAAGGCATCTCTTAAAATCAAAGAATTTCAAGTTAATCATTAACATTTTTCCCGACAATTTTTTTATTACCAAACTTTAAAATCCCATTAGTAGATCCGTGTATTTTGGCCGACTATATTAAATATCAATTAAAATACTTTAATCGTTATTTAAATGTAATAAATCATCAATTTGATCGTTCCTATCAACGCAACCGCAACGGTAAAAACACGCAGACTTTATTGAATAATATAATATCAAATTAGTGACTAGCACGCGCCAGAACAATTAGATGCTTAATAGGTAGTTAGCGCGTGCGGTCTGCGATAACAGTTAAGCAACTTGCGCAATGGCAGTTGACCGGATTAGGTGTCAACTTATCCTTTTCAGATTTTCGGTGATTTGGTAGCAGTTTTAAGCTCAAAACAATATATATTGTGCCAACATGGTGTGTTATGCGTGTTTTTCCACATATGCTTATGCCACCATAACAATATAATTTATCTTTAATCGATTTAAAAAAGACAATGAGGGAAATAAGATCAACGCTAATTAATTTAGCGTTGAAGGGTTAAAACTAACCTGATTCTTGCCGCATTTGATCAAGAAAGATGGCGTCTCTGGTAGCCTCAGGAGAATACAGAAGTGCACCAGAGGGATAGCTAATAAAATCCATAGTACAGTGTTGAATGGTAGAAGATCACCTAGTACAAATACTATGAGATTTCCAGCGGTCTGTGAACAAAAAGAATTATTATTTAAATAAGTAAATAAAGATAAAACCTCATTGGTCAGATCCTGAACTAAGTAGCTAAAGCCATTGTTAATTTAAATCCGAAACAACAAAGGCACACGTCAGGTTACCGCAGAATGTAATTTTATCAATCGAAATTTAAATTGAAAACAAAAGCTTTTAGTAGCAGAATAAAAATCATGCACAAGATCCCGGGTCCGTTTCAAGGACAAGATAGAAAACGACAGAGTTGAAAAAAGTTGTAGTTTAAATGAGAAGAATTTTGGTGACCCAATATCAACCAGAGCTTAGATACTTTGCAGTCTTGCATGTGGGAAGATTTTACTATCAAAAATAGATAGACCTAGATATCGCTGGAATGATGTCGTAGAAGCAGATCTGAGCCAATTTAGCTCAACAAATTGCAGAAAGATAGCTGATAGAACTGTAGAGGATAGCTTTCTTTAGTGTTAACACTTCGGCTCATTACGCCAGCTGAATAAGTAAGTGTATACAAAAAGTATGTAACAAAAACTGCATGAGTTGAGTTTCACCTGCGCAAATGTTGGCAAACTTGTTAATGATTCATACATTTTATTAGTTGGTAAATAAATATTACGAATATATGTATGTAAATTTTATAGGACAACTTTTTAGTCTCATAAAGTTGTATTATAAAAAGCTGTGTAGTAAGAATATTATGATTGAAATATCTGTACATATTTCATATGAGAGAACTGAAACTTTCCCGTTTGGTTTCCTTACGTATGTACTTTGGCGTTACAACTGAATGCCATTATCGTTTGAGTTTTTGTATGGCAATATTTGGAAAGCTGGATCACGGAAAGCTCTTATTTCTTTCCCTTTATTAAAATGACTAAGAAATTTAATATTAGTAGAAAAGTCCTACAGGAACATTAACGCCCGGTTTCTGAATTGAGAATTTGAAGTTGAGCACGTCTCAAACCGTGCTTAAGCCATTTTAAATGTCAATGAAACAAGTTTTCATTACAGATTTATAATTTTTTAATGATCAGTTAATAGCAATTTAATAAAACTAGGACTTTTTGCCATATAAAACGTAAAAAACTTAAGTTATTGAGTGCTTTTCTCAATTCAGAAACCGGCCGTATGTGATTACACAATCACAGAAAAGAGTCAGATTTTTAAAATTGAGACCCACTTAAACTTATGACTGAATCAAAAATTAATTTAAATATAAAATCCATGTTGTATTGAGATAGTCTAGAAGAGAAAAAAGAGTATATAGTCTAATAAATAAGGTAAAAGCTGTACGTAAAAACAAATATCAAACTAGTAATAATGAAAATCTTGCTTTGATCATTGTTTAACAATTTTATTGAGGGGCGGGATTATTAATGCGACGTATTAAAAATGATTAATTTTATAGGGGGGGGGGGTGGAGGGGTGGATACAAAAGTGATTTCTTAGTAAACATAAAGCAAAGAGAATTCCGAACAATATTTTCCTGTTACCGACGTGTACGAGGTATCTAATCGATTATTTTGCACTTATTTGACCCCATCTTATTATAAGTCCAGTTACTAATTATTACATATGCTTACTATATTACAAATGCGAAAGTAAATCTGTATGTTTGTAACGTTTAAAACTCTGAACTGATTAAGATACAATTTGATTAAGTTAGTTTACATTATTTTATAATATTGTTGATGTAGTTTTCTGTATTATATTAAAGTAGATTAAATTAAAGTACGGTATAGATAGATAACTCTTTATAAAAAGTTGAATAGAGATTAACTTCGCTTCTTTTCTTTAATATTTAAATATTCCTTTATAAGAAAAGGGGTAGAAGTTTTTATGGGGTAACAACCATTTCTCAAATTTAAACGTTATTTATAATTAAAACATACTAATTATACAACGATAGTCGCAGGCAAAGGCTAGTATATACATTGATCACGTTAAGCGTTTGATTGTTAATAAACTGTATAAAATTTTCCTTGTATTTGTTTGATAGGGAAGTTACCTGTTTTTTTTTTATTTTATTCTTCTCAGTAAATTACGTAGGTAATGGAATGTTAGATGTGAATTATTATGTATATTCATCATACGTAAGTAGTTGTCTACATAAACCGTTCGAGAATCTTTAGACTCCAAGTCAATGAGATTGCTTTTAAGCGATTTGGATAACAATAAATATGGAATAGAGCCGATCTGATGATAGAGCAACGTTGCGACCTCTAGCCATAGGATATGTCAATTAAAGTGTGTTATGGCGATATTTCTTTATATTTTTTCTACTTTAATCGACAACAAAAAAATGATAGAGGATGATCATTATGAATTGGACAGCAGTGTTATAAACTTAGTCGTTTAACCATCAAAAATAGAGTAATAAAATGAAAATATCGTTATGGCAAGGCGGACACTATCTACGTAAGTAGCTTTGTTATTAAACGAAGTAACTCCATCGAGCTTGGGGTAGTTTGCTTTGTCTTGATAAGGCTTTAATCCGGGAGCAATCCAGGATTTGATAATGGAATTGAAAGGCCATAGGAACTTTGTAATTTGATATAATTACAAAGTTTCCATGGCAAAGTTCTTTATATAAGATCTCTAGTCCAAGATAATGTCTGATAAAAGCTTATTTTGAAGTAATTTAATTAAAAATTATGGTTTGCATTTTACCTGTGAAAATATAACGAAGGTACCCGTCATCCCTCTGATGCTGTCTTCGCTTATTTCTTTGACGTAAAGTGGACATACGACAAACCCACCACCGGAACCGAAGCCGATAAGTGCACGTGCTCCGATTAGAGCTATCGGATGCGTACATATAAGCTTCACAGCCCAGCCGATCTATTGGAAAAATCATCAGAATGTTAGTAAAAATATATTACTTAATTGACTTAATTATCAAACTTTTTAGTGATCTTGAGTTTGGTATGTAGTAGTACCAGAAGTTAGTCCTCTTATAACGGTGCGTCAGGGTTCATCGTACTCAAAGAGTAAAGATATATATGCTCGTACCACACCGTTTTTTTGTCCTAGGTTCCCGCATCCATACTTTTTGTCTTTGATCTCTTTTTTATTTGCTTTTCGTAATTTGAAATTTCGAACACCGCGATCTGCTCTTTCTGAATGTGAGTTCGTGCGAATACTCCTAACCAATGACCTTACAATAAAAAAGGGTAGATAGCTTACTTGCATTGAAAAAGTGTCACTTTAAAACTATGCTAATTAGCATACCTGAGCGCAGTCTGGCGAAAGCGTCGATTGTGTGCGTTTATGTACCATATTCATTTTTAAAATGCTAATCTGTGTTATACGGAACTGTAGAAACTGCATAAGTAAGTCGACTAAAGATCAAGGGGTCACATTTCATTCGTAAGTATACATTTTATCGATTTGCGTTTTAATCAGAAAAAAAAATATGCACGGGCAAATAATATAATACACTAACGTCAAGGAGAAATAATAGAGTATTAGTACTGATATGACCTATCTACCCTCTTTTTATTGCAATACCTATAATTGCTCCTAACAGTGTCTATATATCATGAGATTGTAATTATATTTAAATTATTTATTTAAAATGTGTATGGTTAAAGTAATATATCTAAGTGTGTTTACAGTAAATATCTACTAAGTTCTACCTATTAAGGGAAACCCAGAAACGGGGTATGTAATTGTTTTATTTAGGAACCTACTTATATTACCTTAATTTTAGAAATCCATTCATAACTGTTTTTAAATTGTTTTTTTTTCGTTACAGTTTTTTGTTTACACCTTAAATATACCTACTTATCAAGCCTAGTCAGCCGTCTGATTTACTACCAACACCTAAGCACCGATCCTGTCACACACTCTTAATAATATGTCGGAATAGTTCACATATTTCATGGTAAGTAATTTCTTAAATTTTTGAGTACAAAGGATTCTGACATCCTCCTTCCGAACCTTTTTACAGACACAGGACGCATCCGAGTGTTATAAATTTACCGATCTGACTCACATTTTTTTAATTTCTTTTGATGTTTTTTATTTAGCAGAGATTTACAGAAATTGCGCACTCCTGCTCTTTCGATCCAAAGGAGATACGAAGTTTAAGGATGAAGCCAGCTAATGGCGTTTCACAAAAAATTTTAAAGCATGAAAAACCGACAGAAATCCCTTCAATCTATATTATTACTATAAAAACGTAAAAAAATATATAGTTATTTATCTAAAATCATCCTAATATAGCACTTAATTTTATTTCATGAAATCACAGCTTTTGCAACTGTAAAATACATATAATGCCATTGTCTCCAAGAAAAACATTATAATTTATAGCCAGCGTCTGAAATAAAGAAGAAAGACAGGAAAATGTTGTTTTGAAACACTTTCGAAATTCCGCGTCTGCTAAAAGGCTTTATACAAGAATTCAGATCGAAACACTTTTCTTTGTTGTGTTTCAAAGGAGCAGTTTCTTAGCGTCAATCCAACTTTGAAATTAGAATTCGGATTGTCGTTCAAAACGTTCCGATTTTAAATTATGCGAAGAAGATTGGAAGTACCAATTAGGCATTAGATAAATACAAGAGACAGTTTTGTTTGGGTACCGACCTCTTTCAAAAAGATCGTTAATCACAGATGGCCATCTAGATTTTTGTATATTGACACTACATTATAGTCTGTGTTCTTCTTTTATTTATTTTTTTATAAATATCTCCCCAAGTAGCACAAAACACCATTATATCAAACTTATGATAGCACGAGTCCAAGCGTTAAGCATTATAATAAAATCGTATATCAACCGTATTTCTTTTAAACGACTCTTATACGTAAAATTTGGGCCCCCCCTTTGTACGACTTTAAGCTTTATAAAAGCTGTGCAATAACACTACAACTTTTGTATAATAGCATTAATAAAGTCGGGTAAAAGCATTGTAATAGCCACAAAAAGTTCAATTAGCACCTTAAAGTGCTAATTGAACTTTTTGTGACTATATTACAATTGATATGCGTAAATCAAAATTATAATAAGTTAATTTAAAATTATAAAAATGCTTCCTGTTTTATTTCCTTTGTAAAAAAGTATATTTAATAGATTTTAAAAATATATAATCGGTTTAAGTTATTGTTTTGTGTAAGTGTCATGACATGTTCTCTTGGCTGATCTTTTAAGTATTTTTTAATATTGATTTAAACAGCTCGTTATGTATGAAATAAGCTGCACACATCAGTTTGTGGAGTAAAATATACAAGTTTATGGTGTAAAATACACGCGCCTTCGCAAACTTCCTTTAATATAATAAAAATAATAGAAAATTTAACCTAGTAGCAAAACTTTTTGTTGAATTTTAAGCTTTTTAGCATTGTTTTAACAACATAATTGCTTTTATAGGCATCTGTGCACAAAATAAATGACTATTTACCCCTTTTCATCTGACACAGTTGACTTTAAATATTTTGTAAGAATTGGAAAAAGAAAGCAAATGGCGACTCGTAAAATTAAAGCATTAGGTATTCAAATATAGTGTAGTAGAGTTGTTAATCGTATTATGGTTAGACACAAAATTAAGAGCTCGTAATTCATCGTATAACACACTCCCATTTTAGGTACAGCCGTATTTTAACACTTCAGAAGTATCTTATAGTGCTTATAATCATCAAACGATTATTTCGTTTTTATTTTGATTTTTAAAAGTTTCAATTAAATTAGTATACTCTTTTTTCAGTTTTCTTTTATATCCACCTGTTTTCTTTGTTTTTCCCAACGTTTTTGTCCATGGCGCAATCGATGCGTATAAAATGCCACCATTACAATACAATACATAAAATAATTTTACATTTTAATTTCACATAAAAAATAATTACGATCTATTTATTACTTGTATCTCTATAAATAACTTAATATTGATCAAAATATAGCCTAATGTTTTATAAAAGCATAAATTAAGAAGATAAAGGAGCTTGAGCTTGATTAAAGAATACTTTAAGAACAAATCGATGCTAAAGTTTTACTAGTTCTTTATTCAATGTGTATATAGGATAAGCATTAAATCAATACAACCATAGGCCATTAGAAAACATTTGTTTCTAGAAAATGACTAAATACAACTAAGTGCACTAAATAATATTACGTTAATGCTTATATAATATATAATGTTTTTCATATCACCGAAATACGATAACAGCTTTATATTAATATTACCCAATACTTAAATAGGAGTTTTGACATTGGTATACTTTTTTTATTAACCATAATATGGCATTAAGCATTATTAGATAAATTAAATGCCTTTAAACAGATTGAAACTTGACCAGTGCTGATTAAAAATGTTAGTATGACTTTAGGACATAAATCGGTACTTATTTTAGTTAATATATTATTTATGTGCTACTTGGGTCGTGTTCCAATAAATTTTGAATTCAAAATGCTATATTTAGGTAGGAACATTGGCCTTAAAGAAAAATGCTTAATAAATTCAGGCGTCTAAAAGACTCTTTAAGCTAATTGACATTTATTTATAATATTGCATATTATATTTTTTTTCTTGATTTCTTTATTTATTTTATCCGAGTTTCCATTCTGTGACTGACCTATGCGAAAATAGGGTAATTTCAGTATGCCGACCGAACTCGCTAATCACTACTGCAAGCTTCTCAAGTTTCTTTCGAATCCGTAATATTAGTAAAGATATGGTAAATAAATTTGCCCATTAATTGATGTTATCTCGAGTTTTTTATTACGCCGTAAAAAGTCGTCGTATTATTTCAAGACACCCTCCATGCAATTATAAGCCTCATACCATAGCATGTGTAGTCACACATTTGCAGTCCAGTCTAAAGGGCATCGTCCTTTAATAGAAAGTCATTGGCTACTGGACTCGAGTTTTAAAAATAAAGTAAAAGTTAACAAAATTATTTTAGCATTACGACTTTTTTTGTAGGCTCTATAAAACATTTTTAATATTACTTTTTCTTTTTTTGTGGATCTAACGTCCTTGTTTCGATGTAATGCCTCTTTGTTGATATACCATGATTTTTAATGCATTTTTGTTTTGTCATATGCAAACATATTCTTTCGTGAGAGTAAACAAATTTTTTTGTATTCTGTTAAAATGTTATTGTGATTAAATTATTTATATCATAATCTATAATAGATCTTTGAGCTAAAGTCAAATGCAGATTCATAGGCACTAAAAGAAATCTATTAACATTTACGTGTGTGACAACGCCTTTTATTCTTTGAAAGATATACGTTAACGTTTGAAAGATATTCACGAACTTCACGTTACATCTATTTGATATGTAACGTTGCGATCACAACGTTTTTTTTAAGATTTTTAATGATCGATATTAATAATTTGACAGTAATTGATTTTGGTATTAACTTAAACATCTGTTGAGAATTATCAAACGAAAGAATTGCATGCTAACTGATGACTATAATAGGTTTTAAAATCAGACAGTAAAGCCCAGTCTTAGAATTATCCACATGCTAAACATCCGTGCAGTAGTTTTTGAGTAAAAGTGTATTGTTCATCATATTTTTTTTTTATATGTATTAATGTTGAGGATTAAGGAATTTAACCATAATTCTGTATAAAAGTTTGCGAGCTATGGGTTCACAGGTTTTACTAAGTTTTATGATTATTCAAATCATAATTCGAAGAGCGATTGTGATAAAAGTAACATAATTCCATAAATTGCTATTACAATCGTTATGAAAGGGGTCGCAATAGATTTAAAAAATAGGCAGTAAAGCCCAGTCTTAGAATTATCCATACCAAACATCCGTGCAGTAGTTTTTGAGTAAAAGTGTCTTGTTCATCATATTTTTTTTTATATTAATGTTGAGGATTAAGGAATTTAATCATAATTCTGTATAAAAGTTTGCGAGCTATGGGTTCACATTGTTTACATTAAGTTCCTTAAGCGCTTAAACTTAAGACGTAAATTTGTGTTTTTATATTTAGTGTTATGTTAGCTGAAGTTTTAATTAAATAACAGAAGCTATGTAATGATAGATCGATATAAAGATATATTGTTTAGAAATAACAGTAAGGCATTGTGTTCTGAAGTATGACACTTGGAACGGCAAGTTTAGTTTTACTTCTTGTATTGAAATTGTAGACATTAATTATTTTCATAAATGTGTAGAGTAGTGTAGAGACTACACAGAGAAATATATTTTTGAGGACTCCTATGATTGTATTTTGTAGATCTAGTTATAGTTAATTTCGGAAACCATTCGGCTTCGGAGGTTTAGACGTTAAGATAAATAGAGCTGTTCGACGAAAGGAGCAAACAGGTATTTTACTATTTTAATATAAACGCGTTTTGACATTTACATTAGATATCTAGGTACCTGATTTTTTTATATTCGAGATTAACATTATTACGTTAGAAATATAGGGATATGTGGAATAGGGGAAATATTAGTCGGTTGCATAAAAAAAATGTACATACCGCAATAGGCACAGAGGCACATAACAATGCGTTTTTCCTTCCAAATTTGTCTGCGGCCACACCGTACACGAATACTGCGATTGGTGCGAAGATGAACATTATAGATGCCATCCATGATACATCTTCTTCTGACAGGGGAGCGTTAGATGGTGAGTACTCGCCCATCAGCAGAGATTTGTTGGGTGAGATCCAGCCCATCGCTGTTCCATATGCCAGTATAGGCATGCATACTGAAAAGAGAAATTAATATTTAAATCTAAGTTTATTTTTATTTATATTGCAGTTTTTTTATGAGGAAAGAAAGAGGTTATCAGCGGGCAATATCCAAAACAACTACACGTGAAATTTTGGAATAGAACAGGAAATCGTTTACCTACATATAAATAAATATTAGGTAACACCACATATTGTTCAGATTCCAAGATGAGTACCTAAAGCCCCCATGCTATGGAGTATTTGACACAACGAAGGTAAAGTCAACATCACATCAGGTTACAAATTTGTTCACTCTATTTAAACGTTTACCATAGATATACAGACGCTCTGTACCGTACCTTGTAGAGTTTAAAATCCATTACGGAAAATTGACGTGGTAATCTGACATATATCTGTGTGTACCACAACACCCAGACCTGAGACAATATAGAGAAACCATTTTATCCATTGACCCGACCGAGATCGAAACCGGGATCGGGAGATGGTAGCCTTGAAACAGGCGTGCGAACAACTCAGCTACGGAGGTCGTGAATATATGATAAAAAGTTTTGGTTAAACAGAAATCTTTTCAAGCTACTCCCTATCCACCTTACTTAAACCTATTTTGAACAAAAATAAGTAAAATGGCGAGCATATTCTACTCGTTCTCTCATGAACCTTAATCGCTACAGTATTTATTGAAGCGTTAGTCGAAGCTTTACAATTATCATAGCGACAGTATCGATCGAGCACATACAGTATAATAATTTACACGAATCGGTACAAAATTAATATCGCCATTTTCAACTCCTCCGTGTACTCGTCCAATTATTGAACAATTTTGATCGAGAAAACAAATAGAACACATGTAACGGCTCGATGATTGGTTGAATTGTTTCAAATTAGTCTTATCTAGCTTATACTTCGACAAACAATGTTAGGTTACGTTACTTAAAAAAAAAACAATGAACTACTTAGCAAAGCTTAATATTAAAGTATAATTATGCGTATCTAAAGTTTCATTAGCAAATAAAATTATAGACTGTCTTACGAAAGAAGTCCCGCGGCATAAAACTTATTCCTTTATAATTAAAACAAAAACATTGTGATCTAAGGGAAGGGACTTCTTTCGTGAGACAAACTCTATGTATATTTGCTCATTGATTTAATAAACGAAAAGGCATTATACTTTATAAAGCTAATAATGCTAATTAATAAAATGTAGTCAATTATTTTAATTTGTATTTAAATCTAAACTAAAAATAAGAATATTGTGTAAAGTTACACGATGAGTTATATCTCAAATCTTGAGAGACTAAAATGTGTAACTAATATCAGACTTATCGTGACAATAAACCGTGAATGAAATTACGGCAATTAATCATATTTCTGAATTAGATCACCGAACTAAAAGGAGAAAACATATTTTTAAATTAAAAATCTATAAAGTCACCTCTAAAAATCAATTCAATCTCAATATTATCAATTAAATGTTCAAGTTATTAATTAAAATGATTTGGGCTTCTTGTTTTTCTCTAGCTATTTAGTCTTGAAATTCGTGCTGTATTGTCATCTATCCTTATATACGTATTCTTAGTGCCATAGAGTAGAAATAGAGTGCGAACACCTAAATCTCTACCCGTTAGCAAACATTATGACGATATTACGTTTAATTTAACTATTTTGTCATTTTTTGCAGTGGCAGACTAAGGGGGGGCGGAGGGGGCGGTTCACCCCGGGCCTCTGGTCCGGGGGGGCCTCCAAAGTTGCTGTACTTGTTGAAAAAAGTTGTTGATCCGGGCCTATCGCTTTTTTGATAAACTAAGTTGGAAATACGGTTCTCAAATCCACATATATCATTCGTTTTTCGTTATTAGATACATGTCAAAGTAGTCTAATGAAATGAAATAGCACTATAACATCGCTAACATGTCGTATCTTATGGCTTGAGCAATAGCTAGATGAGATAGAAATCGCTTTGCAGGGCTCGATGAGGTTAATATTATATAAATAACATCTTTTAATTGCCGTACTTAGAGACGAGACCAATAACTTAAACGGCAAGTTAATTATGAGCTTGTAAGTTCCAATGTCAAGTATTAAATCAACGAAATCTGACAAAACTAACAACATATGTTAAAGTAATTGGTATACTCTTTCAATAAATAAACCTTTCTTATTTTAATCAAAGTATGTCCGTCAACTTTTGAATGTGTATTTAATATTGCTTATTTATAATTTTACTTTATTGAAAAACTAGAAGCAACAGGACGAAAATACTTTTTATTCGAGAATTACATTCGATATTAATATTAGTTTGACCTTTTTTCACCAAACATGTATCTTTCCCCGTTGGTGTTGAACCAGTTTAACAACAGTTTTCGAACCTGTTTCCGTAACCTAAATTGGCAGACTATTTCACCAGAGTTATACTTTGTGAAAATAAAAAAGTCACATTTGGCATTTAAAATAACCTCTATAGTTCATTATTTGGCCCATTTAGCCCTTCAATCGGAATTTGATAATAAAAAGATAATGAACACGTATTTTTTCCTCTTCAAGTTAATAAGAAATGACTTAGATAATCGGCATTTAAGCTGAGGAGTGGGGGCTCAACATCACAACTATGTTGAAATTCTAGAAAGATTTATTGATTACACAAAAAATATGTATTTAATATTTTTCAATGGTCAAAAAAAAAACATAATTCCTATTCTATTAATATGAAAATTTGTGGTTTTAATTACCATGTTATAGAACAATGAAAAACAAAGACAGATAATGTATACCTATATTATACGAATTCCGAGCAGCTGAAAAATTTAGGCTGGATTTTTAAATAAACGAAATATATTACGTAATTTTTCTAATATATGAAAAATATCAAAATAATGTAATAATATTTGAAAATTTAATATTTAAATTATGATTTAGGAACTTTTAAAACAGGCGATGTCGGCATCTGTGAAACTCCGACAATTACCGTTTATAATAAAGTTTAAGGAACAATTATAGAGATACCGAGACTCAGAACTAGTGGCAATTTCATTGTTTTATTTAACACAGGTAACACATAATTATTAACTTGATCCCTTGGCGTAGAAATTGGTGTCCCAGGGTTCATCCAACATTAACTAAAACTGAAGTAATAATCTAAACTGTTAGTTATGGGCATTCCGGATATGCTAATGCTGCGATAGTGTTATGTTTTGTGATTTCTAGTATAGCATGCATTTTTTTATAAACTTCTGCAACCGCACTGGTTTGAGAGATCTCAACCCCTTAATCAATTGGTAAGAGGTGTCATCTAGTTAGTTTAAGGGGATGGGTACAAAATCGTCTTGATCATTAAAGGCAGTAAATTATTTGTAGCATTTTTATTTAAAGGAATGTGATTTTGGCTTACAATTGACGATTTTAGCATTGTTGATCTCGGAATTAAAACTATATTACTAATTTTGCCTTATTGAATAGTGAAGAATAATTAATGGCATATTTCGTTGAGGTTTTAGTTTATGAAGTGGTGCTTTACTTTTTATTTAAACCCAAAATTGTAGAGAAAGATTTTCATAAAATGCGCGACAGCACTTTTTTAAGCTACTGAACATTTGTCAAATATAAAAAAAAAACAAAATAAAATATCGAAGGTTTATTAATTTTATTTTCATATCATAGTCTGTTCATAGAGCAGGTGAAAAAATGTACAGTGACAAAAATATGTGAGCATTAAAGCAAAACGATATGTAACACTATCTATAGAATTCTGTATCGTTTCGCCGGAGTATTGTGTTCTGTTGTACGGGATGATGTAGGTCGTTGACCCCACCACGTACAACAATTTTATTGGTAGAACTCCGTGGAACCGATAGAGTTCTATGGATACCGATATGTATTTCACTTTGAACGTTCATTTCTTACTTTGGTTTATTGTCTTTACCTGCCTTAGTAACAGGGTATCAATAAGAGTCAATAATAATTTTGTCTTAATTGACAGATTGAAATTCAAACTTCATTGAATGGTAAAATAGTTTTATCCTAACTAATTGAAATTTTTATCAATTATATTATATACAAAATGTCATCTGATTATTTTCAATAACTTAAGTTTTTTAAGTTTCAAATGGCAAAAAGTCCTAGTTTTATCAAACTGTTATCAACTGACCATTAAAACAATTAAAATCATAAACGAAAACTTGTCTACGTGGCATTTGAAATGGCTTAATGGCTTAGCTTTCAATTCTCAATTCGGAAACCGGGTGTGAGTTACCTAATTTACGAGTAGTAATTAATTTTCTTACAGAGTTTATAAAGACAACTTTATTTATGTTCATATTAAGTTATTTGCTAAAACTTCTTACTGCTAGACAAGTTGTTCAGTTCTAAAGAGTACGCAGTACTTGTTAAATTAGGTTTTTGTTGTCATGGTACACGATTAATAATCCTTTTGATAAAGTGATAATAAAGGTCTTGAGTTTTATAATATTGAGCTTGTGGTATATACTTTGAACGGAAATTATTTTTGGCTGCTGTTAATCAAATGGGCAGAAAGGATTTAGCACGTGTTAGATACCAAAAGAATGTAGTCTATAAATAAGTTTCAACCTTTGATCCATTTTCAGAAGCGATATATACCATTTACAGGGGATACGACGACCTTAGTTATGATAATAGTATATTTTATGACGTTATTTCGTTTGTTTAACTACTTTAACATATTTTTTTTATTAAGACAGGCACAACCAAGAATTTTGAATTAAATATAAAGATATCCAAACTTCTTGGGCGCAACTAGTGCATTGGTGTAACAACTAAGTTGGCCATAGTGTTGTCAAAACTATTTTCATTACGGTTTGGACAGCAGTTATACCAACTTGAACAATTTAAAAGAATTCACCTTTCGGCCACTATGACATCTGTACTTCACAACCAGTTATGAAATATAAATTTTATTCTTTCTTGGCAACTATGTAGTTGGGACAGAAAAAAATAGTTTTATTATTAAAATACATGTCAAAGTAGTAAAATGAAACGAAAT